AAAACGTTTTGTCCAATTTCCCCAAGTTGATTAGAAGTGCCTACAAACAAGACAGGTTTACATTATAAAACAGAAGTGGGGAAAGTGTGGCCCTTCAAGGTGTTGAAATGCAGTTCCCAGCATTCCTCAGTATTGGTTATGTTGCTTAGGCCTAAGGAAAGTTGAACTGCCACCCTTCACCCACCCAATATAAAAAGAAATGACCTAGAAGGAAAAAAAGGATTTATGGTGGGGCGGGGGAAAGCATCAGTTCTTAAGAGTATATGACTCTTAGAACAGACATCTGTATTTTCAGCAAACTGCTCTTAGAGAGTAACTATACTGGAAATGACTACACTTTGCTGCAATTTGATTTGCCTGTATTATGTCTGAAATTGCTCAGGGACTGCAGATTGATTTGGGAGTTCACTTTTCATGTTTGATGCAGTATGAGTCACATTCCAGCTCACAGCCCTCCCCTTCTTCCTTTCCTTCCTCTAGTCCTGCCTCTGTTGATCCTTTTATGATTTGTTGTGAAGCGGCTTTCACATTTAAAGCTTCAGACTACTAGTTTTCTCAAAAAGGTTTCTATAGAAAAATAACATGGAAAGGTACTTAAGTCTAGAGCAGTGGTTCTTAACCTTGGGTTACTCAGGTGTTTTTGAACTGCAACTCCCAGAAACCCCAGCCAGCACGGCTGGTGGTGAAGGCTTCTGGGAGTTGCAGTCCAGTCCAAAAAGAGTAACCCAAGGTTAAGAACCACTGGTCTAGAGCAGACATTCTCAGTAGGGGCCTGGGTGGGGCTGGCACACTTGAAAGGGACCACAGACTGGAAGCAGTTCTTCACACTCCACCTTATAAGATTGGTTATGCAACTCATACAATCTTGATTTAATCTATATTTCTTTCAAATTGTGTTCATGGCCATAGCCAAAAGAAGGTTGAGAATGGCTGGTCTAGAGTGCAAAACATCAAATGTTTAAACAGTAATTTTGCAGAATACGTCATAATTCACATATCAGAATGATCCCATAACAGGGATCACCACATTTCCCTTCCCACCTGTTATTCTTTCCCCTTACTTTTAAGTAATTCAGGTAGGAATTACCTCATCTCTAGTCACATACAGTTTTAAACTATTGGCATGATAAACTTCTTAAGTTCACTTTTAGACCTGTCAGTTGAGTAACTAACAGCTTTTGCTTCACAACAAGAGGGGCTTCCCACATAATCTGAATCTTACTGTGTTCGACAGGATTTAAGATTAGCACCTGATCCTCTTCATTGAAAACATGGTGCTTTGCTTCCCCAGTTCCTGGGCCTGAATCACACCCCAAATGCCTGCATCATTAAAACGCTACCTACAGACATGTCTCAGTCTTTCCAAGAACATATCACAACTAAACACATGGGATAAAACCCATTCAAATGATTCTAGCTTGTGGAAGTAGAAGGCCCCTCAGAAGCAGCGGGAAAGCTGCTGCTTTGGGGAGGAAAAAAACTGGAACAATTTAAACCAGCCCTTGTAGTCAGTTAAAAATACTTCAAATTAACCCATTTTATAGGGGGGGAAGCTGGAACAATTTGAACCAGCCCTTGCAGTCAGTTAAAAATACTTCAAATTAACCCTTTTTATAAAAAAGAGTATACCCACAGTATTTGATAATGTAGCTGCGCTGTCAGTTGATAACATGGACCTCATCAGGTCTCCAGGAAACAGCCTAGCTTAAACCATTTTTGAACAGTTGTAAATGCAAATAGAAGTTGCTGATCTTACAGGCTTACCTTTGATGATACTGCTAGAATCTGCCTGCATCTTGTCACTCCCACCCCTTAAAGTAAGGCAGAGTGGAGGCATAATAATACATTTTTCCTCTATTCCATATTCCATAATACTAATGATACAGAGTAGCCTCAAAAGGTCAGTAATGGAGATAGATGGGTGGGTGACTGCACAAGAATTCTGCAAATGAACATGTGTAATCCCCCCATCTCTATGCATTTAAACTGTTTTTCTTATCCTGTCTTTTGTTACTAATACAGTGGCGCTGTTAATAAGTGTCAATTCCTACATTAGTATTCTAGCTTTGTAGCTGATATCCCAAAGTAAGGATAGCGATAGAATCATCTTAATCATATTTTAATACTTTCCCCCATAGCCATAAACAATAATTACATTTCTTTTAGTGTTGAATATTTCAGTTTTAGTAAGATAGTTCAATAAAAATAAAATGTATTCTTTTGTAGAAGCTTAGTGAGGACTTAATAACAGTTACATGTAGCAATAATAAATTTTAGTCTTTAGGTTAACAAAAACGGATTGATAATATCAGTAAGTTATATTGGTATTCTTGTTCAATACATCTGATTGTAAAAAACAGTAGAATAATTGCTTTTTGTTGAGCAAATTAAACAAAAGAACAATCTTATTTTTATAATTCTTTTTTTAAATGGATTCCCATCTCCTTGTTGCACAATGTGTCATTTGTGTATGTAGGCTGATAAACAGGAATAAAAGATTCTGCAAACATGTTTTTAACATAAAGTAGCACAGACATTCTCATCTCTACATGTTGTTTTTTTTCCTCAATATTCAGTTCTAGAAAACTTCATTAAACAAAATGCAGGAAAAGATTTGTTTGAAGCATTTTTATGCCAGTGTTCGACTGAAAAGCCTTTCAAAGTAGTTTACATTAAATCGGTAACAAGCTACTGGGCGTCTCTCCACACACAAGTGTTTATGATCAGAAATATGTGACATGGAAAAAGGAAATAAAAGATAAGTGAACAGACTCATGCACTAGTTCTTGAATGACAGAATTCCTGTAGGGACCAACTTGAATGGAAGCAGTTCAGAAAGTGTAGAATTAAAAGCCCAAGTGGGACTAGCACTTCCACGAGGAGCCTCATGGCACAGTGGTGACTCTGCTCACCACCTGAGTTTGATCCCTATGGGCTCAGGTAACCAGGTTGAGGTTGACTCAGCCTTCCATCCTTACAAGTTGGTAAATTGAGTACTCAGCTTGCTGGGGTTGGTGGGCAATGTGTAGCCTGCATAATTAAACTGTAAGCCCCCCAGAGAGTACTTTAAGCATTGTGGGGCAGTTATATAAGAGCACACTTGGCACTTAGCTTCCATCTTTTTCCCCCTCTCTTCCCCCCCCCTTTTTTTCCAGCCACATGGAATGCACGATTGTTGCTAGGTGACAGTTGAGGGAGAGGGGCAAAATGGAGCTGGCTTGTCAGCAGAGCCAATGAAGTGATCCTCCTTCAATCCTGCTCCTTGTTCCAGTTGGGCAAAAATAGCTGTTGCTAGGAAACAGTTCAGAGAAGGAGGGGCTGTATGTGGGTCGACTTTCAGCAGATCTGACGGACTGGTCCTAATGCCCACCTGCCCTTCTGCAACCAGTGGCATCAAATTAGAGGGAAGGGTATTCTGATGCTGTTGTGATGACTCATTCAGACCAGTTTTTGTTGCTTTCAAAGTTTGGTATTATCTCAGTAGTAACTCTATTAGGTACTTTTTGCTCATCACTTTAAAAGGCCACTCTTCATGAAAGTAACTTAAAGTTCCAATTCCATTTCAATAGGAACAATGTTATCACTTTAGGGCTTAAATCCAACAGTAAAGTGCAAGTAGTATCAGTAGCATTTATATAGGTGTTGCCTCACTAAATTCTCAGTGACTCAATGCACTCACTCTAGTTACAATAGTAATAATAATCTTAGAACTGCAAAGCTGGAAGGGACCTTATGGGTTATTGAATCCAGCCCTTGTCAGGGAGGCACAGTGTGAATCGAACGCCCAAATTCTAGCTACACAGCTGTATACCTAAACCACTGAGCTATCCAGCAGTTGTGACTTACTACTGGATTTTAGCCACTGAGTTACGTACTACATTCTTATTTAAATAAGTCATACCTTTGTTGTTGGGGAAGGAACTACTTAAAAGTAATTATAGTTCCCAGATCTGACGGACTGGTCCTAATGCCCACCTGCCCTTCTGCAACCAGTGGCATCAAATTAGAGGGAAGGGTATTCTGATGCTGTTGTGATGACTCATTCAGACCAGTTTTTGTTGCTTTCAAAGTTTGGTATTATCTCAGTAGTAACTCTATTAGGTACTTTTTGCTCATCACTTTAAAAGGCCACTCTTCATGAAAGTAACTTAAAGTTCCAATTCCATTTCAATAGGAACAATGTTATCACTTTAGGGCTTAAATCCAACAGTAAAGTGCAAGTAGTATCAGTAGCATTTATATAGGTGTTGCCTCACTAAATTCTCAGTGACTCAATGCACTCACTCTAGTTACAATAGTAATAATAATCTTAGAACTGCAAAGCTGGAAGGGACCTTATGGGTCATTGAATCCAGCCCTTGTCAGGGAGGCACAGTGTGAATCGAACGCCCAAATTCTAGCTACACAGCTGTATACCTAAACCACTGAGCTATCCAGCAGTTGTGACTTACTACTGGATTTTAGCCACTGAGTTACGTACTACATTCTTATTTAAATAAGTCATACCTTTGTTGTTGGGGAAGGAACTACTTAAAAGTAATTATAGTTCCTTCCAAGTTCATATGGCAGTTTTATGTGAACACAAGAAGAGCTGCCAGAAAGGATGAAGAAAACAGTAACCCATGGGTGTGAGAAAAAAAAAACCCTAACTATCTAGGGTTATTTCATTTTTCTAAATAACCCAACCCTCTTCCTCCCTTTCTCTTTTATTTAAGGACCCAAACGAAGGATTCATTAAATGACCAACAATAATAACATGACTGTTAAAAAAAAGGTAAAGGTTCCCCTTGACAATTTGTCCAGTTATGAGGCCCTTAAAATGTACACAGCCCAGCAACCTGGACAACCCATTTTTAATTCCTTGCCTTAAGCAGGTTTATTTTTCATGTGGCACAACATCTGAATTCTCAGCATTTCAGAGTTACACTCTCCAGAATAAAGCATAGGGAGACACACATTTAAATAAATTCCATTATTCTGTTTTGTTTTGTTTTCTCTAGCTGAGCTCTTCATGGAACAACAGCATCTCAAAGAAGCAGGTTTTTGTATCCAGGAGGCAGCCAGTCTCTTTCCCACATCTCACACTGTGCTGTACATGCGGGGGAGGCTTGCGGAGATGAACGGCAGCTTGGAGGAAGCAAAACAATTGTATGATGAAGCACTAACAGTGAATCCAAGTGGAGTAGAAATCATGAACTCCTTGGTAAGTGTGCACAACTGACAGCTGTGTCCTCATCATGTTGTGTGGGGTGTCCCATTGGCCTCCCATGGATCTGGCATGTTCCCAAGAATTCTGAAACACAGGGTCCATGCAGTGCAACGCGATCTAATTGCATTTAATGATCATAGTTGGGGAGCAATTAGTTTTCTATATGGAAATGTATATTACCATATTGGGGCATGTTTTCCCCCTCAAAGGTATTTCCTGCCCCATGGTTTGAAATCCACAAGTTGCTGTCCTCACAAACACTGTATTGTGGATGGAAGGAGGACAATAAGATGGCCACAAACCCTAGTTCAGAAAATTAACAGTATCTCCTTCATTTTTACAAATTTATGGTAACCATTCATGATTTACCGTAAATTCCCACTATAATTTTGGTTTAGAGTTAGATTAGAATTTTAGTACAGGGTTGTTGATATGCTAAGTGCAAAAGGGTGGGGAACCCCTGTTTTTCTTTATCCATAATGACTCAGCAACTCGTATAGATCCTCTCTGATTTTCATTAGAAACTAGTATTGCAAAGTGTGAAATTTCTGAATTTTAAACTAGTCAGGAGTTTAATGAGAATAATACAGGTTTATTTATTCAGTTTACAGTCATCACTGTGTATTTGAGTAAATATCCTTGAATACATTTTGACATGAACAAACATTTATTGCATAGTAGACCAGATCTACTTAAATGCTCCCATTCCTACATTTTATAATAATTACGAGCCATGAGGTGGTTCCAGTTTATGGCAGCACTTCCAGAGTTTTCTGTGTATAAAGTACTCAGAAGTGGTTTCCCATTTCCTTTTCCTGGACACTCTGTAGTTTGCCCAAGACTACATGGTCTGGCTCTTCTTCTACAAGGCTCAGTGGGGAACTGAACTGCCACAGCCAAATGCTCCACTTCATTGATCTATGGAGCCAGCTTTTCCTATGTTTAACCGCCTATATAGGTACTAGTGTCCCAGGTCCAAGTGAGAAGAGAGCACTCCTAACATTATTTTGGGGAAACCGCCCCCAGCTTATACCACCTGCTGTCCATGCTTATGTGTCTGTTTGCAATATGCTATGAAATTGTACTCTCCTTTCGCATTTGATTCCTTTGATTAAAGAAATCTGTTACATTAAAAACTTCCCCAACCCATTGGCAGTGAAGCATACATACCTTTAATGGCTGATCTGGTCTGCAGTGACACAGCATATTAGAATTCATTGATGAATTAAAATCCTCATGATAAATTATCTAAAACCACACAGTATTTGAACTAATGCCTAATGGAACTTAATGATACTGAAAACTACACTACATTCCAATCGTTGAATTTCACTGCTTCAGTTGACCATTTGAACAAATGATATGTTGATAGAAATGTCTACAGTGGCCATTACAACCATCATTTTTGTCATATTGTCTCTCAGTTCCAGAAATGGAATTTGCCACCACTGATTCTGTTGCACAGATTTAAGGGGGATTTGAGCACTACCTTGGTTGTCATAGTGCTGATACTTAGGGTCATTTGTCAACTCCTAAAAGTAGCAGAATTGATGCATATGACTTTTTCTCAGATTGCTCCTAGACCATTTATGGTGGAACTGACAACAAGGTCTCTGCCTGACTTCAGGAGCAGCAAGCCTCACAAAGTGAATTCTAGCAATGAGTCCACTGTCACATTGACTTCCATGGTTCAGAAGTTAACCAGAGGGATGTGATGAAGTGTAAACAACACCTACAATTTCTGAAATGCATTATTTTTATTTGCTACTAGAGATGGGCATGAAGCAGTTTGTGCTGTGATATCTAAGTCATAGGTGTGGTACTCACTTTCCCTATCCTCCCACCCTGGCCTGCTCCCCCATTGACCTGCTGGCACGTGCTGCTCCTTCCCTCATCATTGTGTGCTCTTCCATTCCAGCAGGAGAACAAAGTCTCTTTTGCTTCTTCCAGCAGCTACCTACTGAGACAAGAAGGCGGAGCAGAGATTCCTACAGCACTGCTTGTTAGTGGGCAGCTGCTGGAGGAGGCAGAGAAGGGAAGTCCATGTTCCTGCCAGAATGGAAGATTGCTCAATGGGGAGGGAAGGAGCAGGCAGGTCAGTGGGGGAGCTGTCTGGGGGATGGGAATGAGGAAAGTGAACACAAAGCACCTAAACCAATGACTTAGACTACACAGCATAAAGGGATTCATGGCTATCTCTACTTGTCAACCATCAGGCCCATGCATCTTAGGATAGGTCTTCACTGCAATCAGAACAATGGCTGTGGCTGGTTGTGCTGGAGGTTGCATGTGTGGCCATTATCCATTTGATTCACCTGCTGCTTGCTGATCCCAAAATAGAATGGAGGATGAAACACAGTCCCTTGCAACCATAAGAGAGTTGTCACTCATCAGACATAGCAGGCATTAGCAAAGATTTGTGCACAGCAGACATAGTTGTCATACTTATACGCTGGAACATTTGAGAGTACAGAGTAGTTAAGGAGTCAATATTGATGCAGAATAATGGGTAGGAGCACTGCTTAGAAAAGTGATTTTTTTTTCATCTGTAACTCACAAAATTTCCCAGCTTGGGGAATTGTAGTCCAGAAAATAAACTTTTCCAAGCCTGTTTACAAAATCACATTGGCTGTGAAATTTCATTTTGTGGCTATGGCCTCACACTCTGAAAAAGTCTACAGGTTAACCTAAGTTATGCCAATTTTTTTAATGATAACCAATATTGTGAATGTGGGATGGTGTTATTGCGCTCGTGCTCTACTTTGGGGTTTCATCCAGGCATCTGGTTTAGCAGCTCATGGAGCACAATGATGGATTGGATATGATTGTGGACTCATTGAGAATTGTTCTTCATATATGGTGCTGTTGAGAATTTTGACCAAAAAGAAAAATGCAAAGTGTTTAAAATATAAGAACTATAATAAGAAGAGCTGACTGGATAGCTCAGTGGTTTAAGTTTATGGTTGCAGATCCAGAAGTTGGAAGCTGGATTCCCCACTGTGCCTCCCAGGAGAAGAGCCAGCCCTGTGTGGCATTGGACAAGCTGCACAGTCCTAGGATGCCCACAGAAGAAGGGACTGGTGAACGTAGTCTCAACCTAGAAAACCCTGATATAAGTCAGAATTGACTTGACGGCACATCATGATGATCATGATGATGATAAGTCTGCTGGATCAAACCAAAGATCTATCAAGCCAAGTATTTTGTTTTCATGGCAGCTAACCAGCAGGGACGTGGTGGCGCTGCGGGCTAAACTGCAGAAGCCTGTGCTGCAGGGTCAGAAGACTAAGCAGTCGTAAGATCAAATCCATGCAACAGAGTGAGCTCCCGTCGCTTGTCCCAGCTCCCGCCAACCTAGCGGTTCGAAAGCATGCAAATGCAAGTAGATAAATAGGGACCACTTCGGTGGGAAGGTAACAGCGTTCCGTGTCTAAGTCGCACTGGCCATGTGACCACAGAAGATTGTCTTCGGACAAACGCTGGCTCTATGGCTTGGAAACGGGGATGAGCACCACCCCCTAGAGTCGAACACGACTGGACAAAAATTGTCAAGGGGAACCTTTACCTTTACCTTTAACCAGATACTGGTTAGAAGCCTGCAGGAACAACATGAGTGCAGTATCATTAGTTGGTTCCCCAACTACTAAAGTAATGAGGTGTATTGTCTGCAGTCCTGTGGGCAATATATATCCACCATGATTTTAGCTATAGATAGCCTTTCCATTCTTAACTGTGATGATCAAAGGGGCAACAAAGTGTCTCCTAGATAATCTTCCATCATTAATTCAGTTCATATGCTCCCATAATTTCCTTAGTTTCCCTGAAACTACCGTGTTTTCCTGAATCAATTTTTGCTCCAAAAATGCAGTAGGACTTATTTTGAGGAGATGTTTTATTTTTTTATGTACAACAATCTACGTTTATTCGAATACAGTCATGTCATCATCTTTTGATTGCTGCACAAGGGTGGAGGGCAGAGTTTCACTTAACTAGGGCTTATTTTGGGGGTAGGTCTTATATTACGAGCATCCTAAAAAATCATACTAGGGCTTATTCTCAGGTTAGGTCTTCTTTTCGAGGAAACAGGGTATATATACCTAAGTCTTCACAATCTCAAAGTATTTCACTCAGACCTAATCCCTATATCCAGGGTAAACTAATTCTTAACATGCAAGTGCTACTAAAAGCACCAACGTTTCATTGGTATTGCCTCATAACACATAACCTACCTTGGGTTGTCGCTGCATTGCACATACTCACCTTTCATTGTATGGTGTCATTACAATATGATTCCCCGCATTGCATTGAAATTCCATTTTTGACTTGCACTCTATGGTTTGGAAAAGATACTGGCAATGCTGGGTGAAAGTTTCTGGGAGTTCTGTTCCAAAAAGGTAAGTTTTCCAGGCTGTGCATAAGGTCCACTGATCGCTCAGAAATACTGCACACCAATACCTACCTGCCTATGAGAGATTAAGACAAAGCACAGTGGTGCCTCGCTTAACGAGCGCACCGTTTAATGACGAATCTGCATAGCGACACTTTTTTTGCGATTGCTAATGCGATCACATTGCGATGTTTTAGGTGGCAAAACATCACATTGCGATGATGGGTAAGCGTTTTGCTTACCGATCTTCGCATTGCGATGTTAGGGAAACAGCTGATCGGCGGTTCCAAAATGGCTGCCGGGTGCAGAAAATGGCCGCCCGCAACGTTTTCGCTCCCTGCCCTTGCTTACTGAGGCAGCAAAAATGGCAGCCGAATGGGGAATCTTCGCTTACCGGTGAGTTCCCCCCCCACAGGAATGCATTAAACGGAGTTTAATACGTTCCTATGGGGTTTTCCTTTCCGTATAGCGATGTTTCCAGATAGCGACATTAATCCTGGAACGGATTAGCGTCGCTATGCGGGGCACCACTGTAACTATGTCAGGTTACAAATAATAGCTTTTATCCCTTCTCCTAGAGCTGCACTAGCGTAGACCAATATTTTCA